CACTGACTCTCCCCCTTTCCAAGCAGGGTGTCCTTCTCCAAGGACTGGCCCCTCCTCACAATGAATGTGTTCAAAGGATGTGACATCAAGTTTCGACATCCTCACCTCTAAGGAGGCCCCGAGGTTGCTCTTCCTCCAGTACTTACCTGTGTGTTCTTTTGGCAGTCCATGGGATAACCAGAACTCTCTCCAACATCACTACTCAAAGGCATCAATTAATAACTCTTTTATCCTTAATCATTGTCCAGGTCTCAGGTGCATAATAAGTGATTGAAAATATCATGGCCTGGATCAGGAGCACCTTAGTCCTCAAACTGACATCATTGCTCTTCAATAATTTGCAGAAGCCCCAGATGCAGACTTGCCCAGTGCGATACATCTCCTGACCTCCTAACTGCTGGTACCAAGGCTGTTGATTGTGGATCTAAGTAAAATGAAGTCATTGACAGTTTCCATCTCTTCTCCATTACGATGCTGCCCATCAGTCCAGTGTGAGAATCTTTGTTTTCCTGATGTGGAGATGCAATCCACAGTGAAGACTGTGTTCTTTGATCTTCTGCAACAAGTGCTTCAAGTCCTCCTCACTTTCAACAAGAAAGGTTGTGTCTGCATCTGCTGTTGATGAACCTTCCTCTGATCCTGAGGCTACACCCTTCTCCACAGAGTTTAGCCTCCTGAATGATTTGTTCAGCCTACAGATTGAACAGGTAGGGAGAGAGAATACAACTCTGATACACAGCTTTCTTCATTTTAAACCACGCAGTGTTCACACATCAGCTTCTAGGTCTAGATATAGGTCTCCCAGGAGCACAATTAATTGCTCTCTAAGTCCTGCTAATTACGCTGCCCCTCCCCTCCATCGTGCAGCAAGCTTGGGCCAAGGACCTTGGCTTTGGTTCTGTGGAGTTCCAAGGTCACTCTGCTCTGGGTCAGGTGTCTGGTTCTCTGCCGTGTCTACTGCTGTTGCTCTTTTGCAGACTCCAGTCTGACTGGTGAAGGACTTGCAGGTGGCAAAGGATACACCCTGCATATTCTGCTTGTTTCTTTTCTGGTAATAAGAGCCTCCCTTCTGCTGTTGAACCTGCTCAATGTAAACCAGGAGCTATGGTGAAACTGGCCAATTCCCTTGTGGCTAGACTAGCATGTTCCCACCCACTTATGTCTTCCTCTGGAAGACTGGAGAAAGATTAACCAATAACCTGCATTATGCAGATGACACAACCTTGCTTGCTGAAAGTGAGGAGGACTTGAAGCACTTGTTGCAGAAGATCAAAAATACAGTCTTCAATATGGATTGCATCTCAATGTCAAGAAGACAGAGATTCTTATCATTAGACCAACAGGTAACATCATGAATAAATGGAGAAAAGATTGAAATTGTCAACAACTTCATCTTATTTGGGTTAACATACTTCATACAAGCAGTCAAGAAATCAGGAGACATATTGCACTGGGAAAGTCTGCAGTTAGGGACCTCTCCACATTATTGAGGAGTAATGATGTCAGTTTGAGGACTAAGGTGCATCTGATTTAAGCCATGGTCTTTCCTATTACTTGCTATACATCTGAGAGCTGGACAATGAATAAGAAGGACAGAAGAAGAATTGATGCCTTTGAGCTGTGGTGTTGGAGAAGAGCACTGGACATCCCATAGATGGCCAGAAGAACAAACAATATTTCTTGGAGAAAGTGCAGCCATAGTGCTCCTTGGAGGCAAAGATGAGAAAGCGTCACCTTACATATTTCACGCCTGTTGCTAGGAGGGGCTATTCCTTGGAGGGGGGCACCATGGTTGGAAAAGCAGAGGGTGGCGAAGGAGAGAAAGACCCTCAACCAGGTATTGACAGGTGACTGTCGCAATGGGCTCAAGTGTGTCAGGAGGTGTGAGGATGGCACAGGACAGGACAGGGTTCAGATCTGTTGTTCATATGGTCGCTATGGGTCATACTTGACTCAACAACACCTAACAACACAGCCCACCCCCAGAGCACAGTCAAGGACAGTGGCCTAGAAAAGTCATGTTAACAACAGTCCCACTTACACCACAACTGCTCCCTCAAGGGCAGATTCTTTTCTACATTTGTATTCATATCTGCTGTAACTACACCCACGTGTATAGCACAGTCAGCGGGGGCTAAAGCTGTGTAAATGCCTTAATTGTGACCAAACACCCAAGCGATGGAGTCAAGGTCATTCGGGAGCATGGTCTCTGGGAACAGCAAGGTCATGGACACAGCAGAGGCCACAGAGATAACATTCTATATCCTAATTCACTGAGTAGTAACTGGGGTCTTTCAATTGGCCACTGAAGGTGTAACTCTTCATCAATCCTCTCTATCCAGGACGAAGAAGAGGGAAGAAAATCAAAGACGCATGGAAAGAAATAGTCCAAAGGATTTAAGGATTCTGCCAACCAACCTTTAAGACCCTGAGAGCAGAAGAGCGAGATGGTGCTCATCTAACAGTGCTGACCACTCTAAACGGGACCGCAGTGCAGCAAACAGCAAATGCTTGGCGAGGTTGTGGAGAGACTGAAACCCTTATCACTGCTGGTGGGAGTGTAAAATGGTACAGCCACTATGGAAGGCAGTCTGGCACTTTCTCAAAAAGTTGGAAATAGAAATACTATTTGACCCAGCAATTCCTCTACTGGAAATATACCTTAAAGAAACCAGAGCCACAACTCAAACAGATGCATGTATGCACACCCATGTTTACTGCTGTATTATTCACAATAGCAAAGACAGGGAAGCAACCCAAGTGCTCACCAACAAATGAATGGATAGAAAAACTATACTATAGTCACACAACAGAATGTTATGCAGCACTGAAAAACAAGGAACTAGCCAAACGTTACACAACATGTGGGAGACTGGAGGATATTGTGCTGAGTGATATATCTCAGTCATAAAAGGATAAATACTATGTGACACAACTGTTATAAAACAGGACTGACATGGAAGGTTTGGGAAGGGAATGTAAAAAGAGTGGATAGATAATAAATACTACATTACATCAAATGAGGGGAATAACTGTCCAAAAGGAATACATGATTAGGCATTATATATAGGACAACACTCTGGGGCAAGAGATGCCTTCAGGGGAGGGTTGGAGGATGGAGGAGGGAAAGGGGAAGATAAATTGACATGTGGTGGCTGCAGCTGCACCTCAGGCACAATTGTGAGGCTGTTTCATTCTGTCTGCAGTTACTGTGAGACCAGCTTGGTAGCTCCTAACAAAGGCGAAGAGGTTTCGCTTCTAGATGCTTCTGATTCTGTAGATGTGTGAGTTGTCCGTGGGTTTGCCCACAAGCTTGGCTGTGGATGACGTGGAAGGGGCATCCCCACACCCTGCAAGGGGATTCTGAACAGGAAGTCTTCACATAGCATTTAGAAAGCTTTGTCATATTGCTATCACTGGGGGGAATTCCTAGTTTGCAAAAGACATAAACCAGTCTGGGAAAGCCATCCAGGACCGCCTAGGAATTTGGTGGGCAAGATAAGCACCCTCAGAGACGGAGTAGTCAGGGGCCAGCACTCCCCTCAGGACCTTGGACACGGTCATGCACGAGAAGGCTCTGCAGTGCTCTGTCCCTGTTTAATCCAGGCCACGTTGGACCAGACCTACAGGACTGTCAGCGAGCCAGAAAGAAAAGCTTTTGAGATGTGGTGGTTTGCCAGCTGCTGCTCCAGGTTGCCAATGTTGGACCTACACTGGTACTGATCCTGGGGGTCCTTTCTGACCCCTTCCTTCCTGCATACCCATCTGCCACCTGTCAATTGAGGTGTTAGGGGCCCCTCCGTCTCATATCTGGCCAGGAAACAGGCCAGAACTCTGTCCTCTGATACCACCTAAGAATCAATAACTTGGTGGGGGTTTTTTGCTGTTTTGTTTTGTTTTTTTCCCCTAGATCTACAATATTTAACAGACGGGACCTCTGATAAATACGGTAAATTAAAAAAAAATTTAAAAGATTACTTCATCTGGTTCTCTCAAACTGACTTCCTCAGGAAGGAAAATACACAGTTCAAAAATGACGCATAAATAATTCAAATTCATACATGACTAATTCAATAGAACAAGAACTCATTCTTCTCATTAGCAGGCTACATTGTATCGCTTGACCCGAGCACTAACTTCAGTCCTGACTGACACTGCAAGCATCCCCAGATAACACAAGCAGTCTGTGACTGCTTCCATGTGACACTCTGGCCAAAACTGTACCGAGGGTAAAATTTGTCACTGAATTCTTCAAGCCTCTTCTCGATTCCATTGTTTGTCACTCTTTGTTTCTCCTATTTCCCCAAAGGGGCAAGACTATGCATAGGGATTTTAACCGTAGACGGTCCCATTTATCTATTCTATCCTCTCCTGGTAGAACCAGTAACTTGGGACACTAGGTGATGAAGCCGTGGAGGCGGGCCAGGACTCAGGGCAGGGTCCGGATTCCGGTGGGAAGGACAGGGCTGGAGGCGGGCCTGGCTCTCCATGGGGCGGGGCTAGCTGGGTTTGTGAGCAGCGATTGGTTCTCCCTGGGACGGGGCGGGACCTGGCGGGGGATGGGGCGTGTCTTCGGGGCGAGGGCTGGCTCTATGGGGACGGAGCTGGGGTTCAAAGGCGCTGCGGGGTCAGGGCCGTCCAGTAGGGGCTCTCAGGGAGGCTGGGCCCTCCGCCTAGACGGTCAGAACGCGGGGGGCCCGGGTGCTAGCTGGTCAGAACGACTTTTTGGGCCATTGTCGGGCTTCGGAGAGCGGGGCCGGCCTGAGTACGGACCGGGGTCTGATCAGGACTCAAATGGAGTATGTGGCGTGCCCTGGTTTGCAGGGCGTGGCCTGACGGCGCGCACGGAGGGACGCATCTGGGGTGCGGGGTGTGGCCTGAGACGGTGGGGCGGGGGCTGAGCGGGGTACACGGCGGAGTCTGATCAGAATGCGACTGAGTACGGGACATGGCCCGTTTGTGGGGCGGGACCTGAGTACGGGGCAGGGCGCATCTGGAGTATGGGGCGGAGCCTGAACCGGCTGCATCTGGAATACTGGACAGGGCCTGATGATGGGGCGGGGCCTGATCGGGGCGCAGGGCGTGGCCTGAACCGGGCCTTTCTGGGGGTACGGGGCGGGGTCTGATTCTGGGGCAGGGCCTGGCTGGCACGCCGGATAGGGCGCATCTGGAGTACGGGGCAGGCAGGGCCTATGGTGGGGCGGGGCCTGATGGTGGGGCGGGGCTTGAGGATGGGACAGGGCCTCAGGACCTATGGAGGGGCAGGGTCTGATGGTGGGGCAGGACCTATGGAGGGGCAGGGTCTGATGGTGGGGCAGGACCTATGGAGGGGCAGGGTCTGATGATGGGGCGGGCCTGATGGTGGGGCAGGGCCTGATGGTGGGGCGGGGCCT